AACAATCAGTTTTACTCTCTACTGTATAATTCATTTGATTGTTTTCAATTCGCTCATCAACAGCAAACTACCTTCTATATCAAAGTAACTGATGCTACGTGAAGAAAAAAAAACTTTTTATCATGTCAATGAGTTTGTGTGCATGCCTACTATTGTAGACAATCTAAGATTGAACAAATGTCTTACAATTTTGTAAAAGTCAATTATCATTCTTACTCTATCTCTACTCAATATTTTTGTTTTGTAATATCTTACTTTAATCCATGCAAGAAAAACAGCAAATGCAACAATATTATTAAATTGTATTTGCCAATAAGTAAGAAATTCAAAATCAGCAAAACTATTTTGATTTTTTAATAATTCATCAAGAATTTGTCCAACTTTAATTTGACGATAGACATTAAATGCAATACAAATATATGAAATTAATATGATTAATATATCAAGTACATTCCAAATTGCTTTGAAATAATGAAATTTAAAATGTCTAATCTAAATCAAAAGAATTTTCTTGACTTCGATAAAAAAAAACCAGGAATTCATTTTTAACTTACTTCAAGAACTTCTTCAACTGTATAATAAACTGTAAACATTGTAAATAATATTTCACATGCTAATACAAAATAATCCATTGATGAAACATACTAAAATAATGAATATTTGGTTTTTTTTTTGTTCTTATTTTTTACTATTCGAATAGTACTTACACGAATTAATTTAACTGTCGAAAATGATTTTGATGGTACAGCACCACCTGATGCTGGAAATTCTATTGTTAATTTAATTTGACAAAATAAATTAATATTTCCATTATATACTGTAAAATCTAGAAATACAACACGTGTACCACGATCAATCCATAAATTTGCATTTAAATCATCTAATTGAGCTTTAGCATCATTATAATTTGGTGTTAAATCTTGTACAAAACCTCCACCACCATATCGAGATATTAATCCACTTGTTGATGAACCTTTAAGTTGCTTTGATGTTTGATAATGCCATCTAAATATATCAAATGATAACAAAAAAAAAAAAAAAACAAAGAAAATCTTACGCATTCAGTGTTATAGTATTATTTTCTGGTGTATAAGAACTTCGATTTTCTTTACTAGTACTATATGGTCCATAACATTCACGTATAGATTGTTGAAATTTCTCATGAACAGTACATGAATGATTTGTAACCTTGAATAAACACAAGAGAAAATATTACAAAAGAGAAAAGAAAAAAAATTTTTTTTTTTTTTGTTTACTCGAAGTTGTCGAAATCGTGGTAAACCAAGAATTTTATTTTCAAATAAAACATAACCATATTGATCTTCTGTTAAATTTTCTCCATTATACCATTTTTGATCAAATAAACCACTAAGAACAGGTCCACCCATAACCTAAAAATTCTAAATTATATATCAAAAAAAGTGTTTTATAATTTAATCATACATTCCAAAAATCATCAAAATTTGCAATATCATCATATGCTGGTTGATCACCAATACCTTCAACTTTTCGTTCCGTAAAAACAGTACGTAAAACTGTTGTAAAATAATATGTTTTTGTTGATGTCATACCAAATGTAACTTAAATTTAAGAATAAAAATATTCAATAAAGAATAAAAAGTTCATTCGGACAAAAAGAAAAAACATCAACATTCTTTTACTTGAATGAAATCCTCTTTTTGTTTTTTTGTCTTTTGATTTAAAAGAATAGTTGTATACTTACTGATGCATAAAATAGTGACGAAAACTAAATAGAGAATAAGTTCTCGTAATGTTGTTTTAATATATAAATCTTTATTTTTTCGAAGATCTTTTTCTGTTTGTCGTGTTGCCCAAAGAGCTATAAATATTATGCATTATACATATGTAGAGATTAAAAAAAAATGCAGTACTGGTCAAAAAATATAAGATTAATAAAGCTTACAAAACTACTGTATTTAGTTTTTCAGAAATCTTTCTCTCATTATCCATCTATGATATCAAAGGTATAGAATACATTTGATAAAGAACTTCATTGATTATTCAAACTATTGATGTCGTAGAAAAAAAATTTAAAAGGATATTAATCTTATAGTTTTGACCAGTATTATATTATGAATACTTACAACGAATGCCACGAAGAATAGTTCGACCAATATTTTTCTGTGTAGTTGGATCATGTCGATATGGTTCTGGATGTATTCGATTTTTATTTTTATCATCTGGTTTAATAATAAAAATATTTGAACCCATTGGACTTGTTCCACCACTATTTTTAATTCCAACTGGTTCTTCATCAAAATTTGGATTAGAATAAGATGTTGGCATTGTTTTATTTGCAGTACTCATATTAATATTTTTCTTTTGTTGTTCACACTATAACACTTTTCTAATATGATATTGAAAAAGAATTTCTCACGTCTATCTACTTCTACTTTTTTTTTTTTGTTGTTGACGCAAACTAGATATCTCCATTGAGAAATGTCGTTTCTTATATAGAAGAATTATTTTTCTTTGTGTCTTTGTTTTACTTTTTCTTTTTTTTTCCTCATTTACTAGTGTATCCTAATTAACGAGAAAGTTGGAGTAGTAGTAGCAAGAGAATATATATTAAAAAATAAAATTAATTTTTCTAAAGACTATGAATGAGTTTCTTTCAACAGAATAACACTCGATAAGAACTAGCTGCTATTGTCATTATTCAAAAAGAAATACAAAAAAAAAAAAAAGAACTACGTCAATGGGAATAAAATATTCCTTAGTGTATTTTTTACAAAAACAAAAATATTTGTCATGATATACAACGAATATAAATTAATTTGGAAAAAACAATAGAATAGATATTAGTTCGTGACAAAAATGTAGTTTTTTTTTATTCGACTAAAAAGAAAACAAAAAATTCTAGGTTTAAGTTATTATATAATAATATTTTTAATATGCTAACATCATATTGAATATACTATAAAATATATCAAAGTGTAAAACGAGATAACAAATTATTAATGTTTCTTTAAAAGCTTTTTCTTTCTGAAAGTATTTGATGGTCCATTGAATAACCTAGACGTTACTACCAAACATAATATTTCTAACAAAAAAAAACAAATTATGTACGTGAACCAGCAAGCGATACAAAAGATAGCATGTTAAATAATGATAATTTATCAGATTAGATTTTTCTTTTCTCGATTAGAAAAGTCTTTACAATGTGCTAATAAAAAACTAGTTCATGTAAAATTAAATTTCTTGATATTTTGATTGCAAAATTTCATATCGAAAGCAATAAAAATAATGTTAACTTCTTCAATTATATATGTCACAACAGTAGAAGAAAAAAGAAAAAGTGTGAAACATTTTATTAAAAAATAAAATATACATCAAAAGATGTAGCATGGAAAGTTCTACATTACAGAGCTTATTTTATAACGAGTGACCTATAAATAATTATACTGTTAGTATTTTCGAAATTTCTACTCTATTATCACTTTGATTAAAACACTTTTTTTATTAAAAGATAGCGCTTGAAATTCTCTACAAAACCATAAAACTGTTTTAGGTATATTTGAGAAACGATGAAAACTAAAGACATACAAAAAACTGCTAAAAAGTAACGGGAAGGATATAATGAATGGCTGCACTTTGCATCACTTACTTTGTCCTATTAGAAAAACAAAATATACCAAAAGATGCAGTGTAAAAAGCTCTACAATTTACATAAGATCGCCTATTTTATAGTTGCATTTTTTATTGTCAAAATGGACAAATTTCGATCATAAGAAAATGATATATTTTTTTGGTACAAGATGAATTCGTTTTTTTTTTCTATTCCCTCTTTTTATAATTTGTTCTTTGTAAATTGTAGAGCTTTTTACGCTGCATCTTTTGTTTTATAATAGGAAGAAGTGATGAAAGCATTAAATGCAAAGCGTGGACATTCATTATGTCCATCTCGTTACTTTTTATAGCTTTTTCTATGTCTTTAGTTTTTATCTTTTCTCAAATATATCTAAAACAATTTTATAGTTTTGTAGAGAATTTCAAGTGCTATCTTTTGATAAAAAGAAGTGTTTTAATCAATATGATAATAGAGTAGAAATTTCGAAAATACTAACAGTATAATTATTTATGATCCACTCGTTATATTGCATTTTTAATTATCGATATAGATAAAGTTTGGTGAGATCAAACAAGTTATTTTTTTTCGTACACAGTGCATTATTTTTCTTATTTCTTCGATTAATAAGTTATAATCGATATTATACCAATTGAGGTGTTTCATTCACTCTGATGTTCTTTATTAGAGGAACACATACGAATTTTTCATGATAATAAATCACATCTGTATAAATGTGTTAGTTACTAAAGATAAATGAAATCTGAAGACGTACAAAAAGTGATTATGCGAATGATTGATGAATATGTGTGCACCCACGCTCGACATTCACAAGTTGAAATAAGATAATAAAAAAAAAAGGTATTCGTCGTGTACTAAAACAATGACTTTTTTCGCAGCATCGAAATTTGGTTACATAGAATTTCGTGTATTTTGAAAACTAAAGATGTGTATATATAAAATAAGCTTTCTATTGTAGAGCTTTTCAAGCTGCATCTTATGATATATTTATTTTTTCGAATAAAAACGTATTAGATGATAAAAAAAATAAAATACAAAACGCGAACATTTATTCTAGTATATCTGTTGAAGAAGAGGCCACAAAACTTCGATGTAATTTCGAAAATATATGCGAGTTTCACAAAAGGTCAAAATATCAATCATTCAAATGAAATTAATTTTATAATTTTTACACGAAAATAGAAGAACTTAAAAATAAATTGAGTATAAGTTATATGTTTTGAACAATAGAGATATAGTAATAGTGGTGATCAGCGGAGTCACATTTTTTCACTCCGAAACCCGACTCCGACTCCCAAAAAAAATTTTTTGCGACTCCGATTCCAACTCCGACTCCGAGAAGAAATTTTTCCGGACTCCGACTCCGGCTCAGAAAAAACTCCGAAACTGTGTTTTGTAGTTTATCGACATAAAATTCATACCAAGGTTCGATATTCCGAAAGGAGAAAAACAATTGGCGACTCAATAAGAAATAAAATACAGTTTATTTTGTCATAAGACACATTTCGCCATGTTTTTTTTTCGGAAACAAAAAAAGAGAAATTATGAGTAACAAATTTTAACACACAATTGATGATTATCGGAGTCGGAGTCCTATGCAGTTCACTAAGTAATAGTCAAAAAATATATGTTTACTTTTGATGCTTACTTCCACTTCTTATTATATCATATATAATGGTTCATCATTGATTTATAAAAATCAACTTCCATATGTGTCTTGGAATTTGTGTATTATGCAAACTATGAAACTATCGTCTGCAATGTAGTATAATTCTGATTTTATTTACATTATGATGAATATAGTTTTGAAGTATCGAAAAATTTAATCATGTTTTCTTTTAAGAGTTAATGATGTACAGAATACTTTGATTTATGTTTTTAGTTCGTTTAGTATTTTATTCAAAAAGGTATACGCACTATCAGTTAAGATCAATAGAGATTAATCTTTCATTTGAGATAAGAAAAAAGTTTATTATCAATATTAAGTAATAGTTTTCTTTTTTTTATCGAATAGAGATAACCCGATAGATATATTTATAATAACAAAAAAAAACAATTCTATTTTTTTTTTCTTGATCGATTAATAAATTTCTATAAATATTTGTTGTTCGAGTCACATTCAAATACTAGTATCTTTAATTATTCAAACTTTATGAAATAGTATTAGAATTGATTTGAATTTTGTTAACTGAAAAATGAGCTTCGACATTTATACAAAGATTTTTATGACATTTAATAGAGAATATTCGTGTTCGAATTATTCAATAGAATTAATTTATTGTTATTTGCATTGAATAAAATTCTTGAGATTTAAATCTTCTTCTATATATAATGATAGTCCTTGCTAATAACTCTTATTATAATAAATAGAAGTGTATTATACGAAGTAATATATCTCTCTTTTTTGGTTTACGATAAAAAAAAAACGAATAACCTTCGCATTTTTTAAAGGAAGAAAAGATCGTTTTTCTTTATAGACAAATAGACTAACAAAGGATCCTGTGTGTAATTTAATCCTCACGTCTTCAAACGAAACATATGATGTGCTTGATTGCAAATATATATTCATTCTTGTCATCGTCAATTTGTCCTGTCTTTCAACTTTATCTTTCGAGTACAACATAGGCTGTTCTTTTTTTTTTTTTTTTTATATTTTATCGATTGATGACAAAAAAGAAAAGAAAAAGGATTTTTCGTCTTTTTTTCCTTGGTGTCTCTTTTATTTTATTTTTTTTTTTTGTTCGAACTTGTCTATTTGCTTTATATAAATGCATTCGATATGCATCTAACGAATACCACAATGGTTTGCGGTAATATTTTGTGTTTGTTGTAAAGTATGAGGACATTTTAATCTTTATACTCTTATACATTCATCCTACTATGTACAGGTCATGAAAGATCATTTTTATAGTTTGTAATGATATAACCTCTTGAAAAAGAATCTTTTATCAATAAGTCTATATCATGTTCTAATAGACACAAGGTGAGTGCCTAGGAAAAGAAAACACAAGAGAAAATAGTTTGTTCAAATTTGATGATGTATAGTATACAGATTAAACATATTAGCATTGAAATGTGAAGGGTGAATTTATAATATATAGTCTTCTCTGTATGTTGCTGTTTGACGCCCTAAATTCCAAAGTAAACATATACATTGAGAATAGTAGTAAGAGACAAACGTGTAATTGAATGTGATGCAATCATTAATACAAAAATTTGTGTATGATGTGATCATCCTTTTGTTGTCTATGTTTAAACTAAAATAAGGTAATCGTAAGTATAAAGAATAAGAAAGAAAAAAAGAATAACGAATGGTGTTGATTTGTTCTTTATGATGAGAAACAAAGTAAATCAGACCTTGATTTTATTCGATGGCAAAAAAGAAAACACACTAAATTAATATATTAATTGTCATAGAAATTATAAATTTTTTTTTTGATTAAAATAATTTATTGAACGAAATATATTATTATGGATATATTGGGTTTTGCTACGAAATTAAAAGCTGGACAACATCATTCAATTCAAAATGATGATGTATTTATTGATCGACTCAATCATAGATATACAGTAACAATGATTTTAGTTTTTGCTGCTATTGTTACAACTCAACAATATTTTGGTTCACCTATAACATGCTGGGTAAAATATTTCAATTGATTCATACATAATTTTCTTTTTTGATTTGAATTTATTTTTTTTTTAGGTACCTGCACAA